TTATTAAGTGGCTTTATTTTCAAAGACCAATCATGTGCAAAGTAAAAAATAAAAAAGTCGAGATCAGGTTAGTTGAACCTTTTTTTTTAATTAACATGTACTAAAATGCTGCAATTTGAACAATTAAAAATTAATTTTATATCTATTCGATATTTTTAAAGGTTTGTAATAAATATTGCGTCATTAAAATGTTTGATAAAGTTCAAATTCGACTACTTGTTATTGAAATTTTTTTTAAATAATTAAAATCGAACAATTTAAATAACATATACAATTAAAGTATCAACTTAACTGATTGTTTTTTATAATACATTATATGTTAAATCCTAACTTAATATCATTAAAGATACCATGTTAACCAGAGATGAGTTACAACTAGACAAATTTAGACAGAGAAGGCTGATTAAGTGGAGTTTCATAAATGCAAATTGGCATAAGTGCGCCGAAAGAACTTGCAAACAATGTCATAAGTGCAAATTAACATAAGTGCAAATCATCAAAAGTGGATAGCAATTGCTAAAAAAACTTACTAAGTTCAAGTTTGAACAAGTGTAAACTGGCACGAATTATTTACTGCTAAATTTATGAATGACGCAAAACCTCAGTCTTTTTTGAAAATATCAAATTGATTGATCTAAGGCAGCTTTTTTATTTCAATAACAAATACTAACAGTGTATTTTATTGTACAGTTGTACACCAACAAAGTATATTGACAACGCACACCTCTTTATCTTATCTTTAATTTTTTTTTTTTTTTAATTGTTTAAGGCAGTTTTGTTATAAATTATTTTTGAACCATGTTTTTTTTTTTTTAGTTTTAGTTAATAATTCACTTAAGTCCTTGCTAGTTATGTTATTAATATAAACAAACTACTTATATAGGGGGCACTATTATATTCACAGCGGACCCAATGAAGCTCCAGACATTATCTTAAAATTGTAATTACATATAAATATGGATACCGGATGTCCGGCTTTAACGAGGGAGCACACAGTAAAAAAAGTCATTTTTACAAGTTTGACGCTGTATTCTTCTCAGTAAAAGCCGGATGTCTGGTGACCCTAAATATGTCAGATTTCATAACTATTTCTAGAATTATCGAGTTATTTGAAAATTTTATTCATTATATTTTTAATAAACTTAAGTTATAACTTTAATAAAAGAAACAGTTTCTGCAGTTTAATTACGCTACAAACTTTATTAAGTTATCAAAAATATAAATTTTTAAACTAAATTTAATTTTCAAAATATAAAAAAAAAAAAAAAAAAAAAAAAAAAAAAAACTCTATTCACAAGAAGATGTGATTTCGCAACTTGTTCAATTAAAAGGTATAAACTAATGGGGTGCAATTTATAAATTTAACCGTTAATAACTTAACGAAATATTCTTCTGTTTTGATACACCCAAGTTTTTGTTTTTACGAATTTTTGTTTTACTTATTTCGTAATATCTCACTATTCATTTTTAATTTCGACGTTATAAAATATCTCTTTTTTTCTCTTTTTTTTATTTGACTGTGTTCTTTTTAAAATATTTTTTTTCTGAATTGTGTTCCGCTATGTCTACGTCCGCTATGTGAAATCTTTTTAAACTGTGTTCCTCAAAAAAGCATTAGTTTGCTATAAAACTATATATTATTTAATAACATTATTCATTACTTATTCATTTTTTTTAATAACTAAAAAAGGATTTGTTTCTGTTTCAACAATGATTTTTTCTGACAATAATAAACAACGTCAGTTTTTCTTAAATCAAAATATGCGGTTTACCGTATCTTCATTTAATATTTTTCTTTTTTTTAGTTACATACTTAAATCTATTTCACTAATTTGGTAACATTTCCTTTTTTTTATAAACTTGATTACAACTAAAAAGATATGTTTAACATACACACGCACACACAAAAAAGATAAGTTTCCATATATAAGTATTATTATAATACTTATATATGGAACTATAAGTCATTAAAAAAAAAAAAAAAAAGCAGCCTGTCTCTAAAAACCCCGTTACTGAATCATTTCTGAATTTAAAGCAAATTGCAAACCTCTAAAGCTGCCAACTTCTTCTTGTATATATTTGCATTCAAAGTTTTGTTAAAAGTTAATAACAATGAGTTTTTTAGGAATAACATCTACAGATTCCTAAAAAACAGTGTGCTAGAACAGTTGCTACCCAAAACAGTGTGTTAGAACAGTTGCTACCCAAAACAGTGTGCTAGAACAGTTGCAAAATATGATGCAAACCATGTTTTAAATTATTTTTATAAATTATTATAAGTCTATAAAGTTTATAATCATTTTACAAACTTTATTTTATTTTGACGAAATGAAAAATGAATTAAGCATTATGAAAGAAATTATAACACAAAAGTTGTCTTATCAATTATGATCCTATTCAGATAATTGCTAGCCATCGTGTTTTTATGTTGTTCAGCACATTGTAACTATTTTCAATTTACAGCGTAGCTTTGAAGATTTCACTAAAAGCTAAACTTTGTAAAGCTGAAACTAGAACCAACAACATAAGTTAACACCCGATTGCTTTCTTTATATGCAGTTGCATGCCTCTAAAATGACTTTTGGCTAAAACAACAAACAAATTCTAATTTCAATATTCTTTAACTTTACTAATATTTTTAATAATGACCAATAAATTCTTCTTATCATTTTAATAAAGTGCCTTCCTGTATGGTTTACCTCGATTGTATCTATGTGCACGTTAGATCAGCAAATTTTAAAAAACAGCATTATAACAAACTAATAATCTGTAGACCCAGCAAACATTCTAAAGCGGACCTATATAGACATTTTAGGCGTTCCACTGTAGTTTTGCTCATCAGTTACATAGTAAACTATTAGTGGCTAGCCGATGACAAGCCACTATATCACATATTGGAAAATTGTTGGCTGGCCACTTATAGCGGATGCCCCTAATGGTTCATTATGTAACTGATGAGCAAAATTATAATAAACCGCTCAATATATCTATATAGGTCCACTGCAAATCCACTACAAAAAAAGTTACACACATACTTTTCATACCTTTGATAATAAAAACAATTGCTCTACCACTTCAAACTTGCGACAAAGTTAACAAAAAAAAAATGTCATTGAACATAAGTAAATCTAAAATCATTTCAAAAAGCAAATATGTCTCGCGTCAAGTGGCGAATTAAGACTTTTCGGGGCCCCGGGGCTATTCAAAGCAGGAAGCCCCGTTTGCATGACATTAATCAAAAATTTTATTTACAGAGTTTTTTTTTTAAGGAATCTTTTATTTTGAATCAAGACCTCCGAAATAGCGGTACTAGGGGCTATAGTCCTCAACATCCCCCCTTTCTCTTTAATCAGCATTGCTCGCGCACTCATTAACTGTTATATCACTATATATGACATATATCACTACATCACTAATACGCCTAATATACAGTACTTAAATGCTTAACCTTATATATGTTGATTGAAGTTAAATTTTGAAACAAATTTTGCTTTAAAAAGGCCGCGCATCAAGTTGAAATTTTTCTCAGATTTATATCAAATCAAAAGCTTCAAAAACTAGGTTTTCAAAAATTAGTTTATTTAAGTTAACTCATTTAAACCATTATAAACTTTATAAACAAAGTTTAGACAAAATGTTTAATTTTAGCCGATTTTCCTTTTGAAACGAATATTCAAAATGAATATTCTTTAAACAAACAAAGTTTCACACAAAATTCAAAATTAATAACCTTTAGAACAAATATTAAATGTCACACAGTAAGGGAGATAAAGTTAAAAACGGCAAAAAATCACCACTTTTAAAATGTTACTTTAAAATGTTAAAGTAAACTACTTTTTGGTAAGAAATTAACATAAAAAATTTCTTAGCAAATATATATTTTAGCATAAAATACGTAAAAATAAAAAATCTAAGACCACAAAATTTTGAGTAATAAAAGTAGGTTAAAGTTTCTAAAAACAATTTGTTGAAAATTTCTTGTTTTTTAAAAAGAAACAAGACCACTGATGATCTAATCCATTAAACGGTGATCTGATCTATTCAAAGCACTTTAAATTTGATCTGATCCATCCAGAGCACTTTAAATTATGATCTGATCCATTCAGACCACTTGAAATGGTGATCTGATCCATTCAGAGCACTTTAAATGGTAACCTGATCCATTCAGATCACTTGAAATGGTGATCTGATCCATTAAGAGCACTTTAAATGGTAACCTGATCCATTCAGATCACTTTAAATGGTGATCTGATCTATTTTGATCACTTCAAATGGTGATCTGATCCTTCAAAAAATAAATTATAAATTGAAAAAAATTTACCTACGGTTGACAACACCATGCGAAATGCATATAATGATCGATGTAATTTGGGGTAAAGATATTACTAGAAGAATTTTATATTTTCAGTTATGAGCCTTTGAAAATTGCGTTATGAAGTAAATATAGGTCAAACGCTAAATTATTACAGATCAAAGTTTATTACAATATCTCAGAAATAACAGATAGACAGATCAAAGTTTATTACAATATCTCAGAAATGTAGCCTCTAACTCAGTAAAGCTTCATTGAAGAATATTTTACCTTTCCTAAGCAACCTTTTACGTACTTGGTTTACGTAATTGGTGTCTAAAAGACAACCATTTTAAATATCACAGTGTCTTTCCAAATACTCAAGGCAATTACCAGTTAATGCCAATTTTAATTTTGTTATATTGTCAGTATTTCTTCTGCAACCATGTCTTGGCCAAGTAATATGCAATAAAATTACACGTTTCTATTATTGATTTTTTTTGTCTGGGTCATAAGTACATATTTTAAGCAATAGATAGCTCTTGAATTCCATTGTGCATTTAAAATAGAAATTCTGTTTTAAAAAAAAACGAATTGCGGGTAAATTCATTGTGTCTCGATAAGTCTTGTATCTTTTACATAACAAATCCAGTTTCGTATAATCCTTCCTGCCATATTTCTTACTTTTAACTGGCCCGTTAAACGTGTATTTTTTAATTAAACCATGGTAGTTACTAGTCAACTCATTAATGAACCAGGAATTAATATTAAGCGATGTTGGAACCAAACTGTAAGTTCTATTAAAATGATGTAGATTTAAATCAAAAACATGTAGTCGACAACGATAATACCTGGAACACTTTTTCTCAAAAAATTTATTTACCCTATTTTTAGGACATTTATTTACTGCCTTAGTGTCACATATTATAACAGAAATTTTATTTAATAAATTAAACTTCAAAATAACTTTGTGTAATATATTATAAATAGAGAAAGAGTTGCCTTCCTCTAATATTTTCAACAAAATCACCAAAGATTTGCACAAAAAGTTGAATAACAGAGTTGTTTGTCTCTTACCATCACAATGTAAGCTCCATATTTCTTTAGAAGGATCGATATAAGACCAAATTAAGCTTATTTCATGTGCGAGTGTTATAAATGCTTTTTGAAGAACAGATTTGTTATTGATGCCTCACCAATTACGTTGAGCTCAGCTTCGGCAATTTTGCCTTACAACTTATTCATTTTCAGCTATTTTAGCTGCCATCGTACCGGTGATCTTTGCACGTTTCAATGAGGTGGTGTAATCATCACTTGTATTACTTTTTTAATGATTTTCTCAACTAGAATTGTCTGTATCATCAAACAATAGACAATAATTTATTTCAAGTTCATTTCTTTTAGACGACAGGTCTTGCGACACGATGGGTCTCGCGTTTGGGTTATAATAGGCTCTATCACAATACTTTATTGACCTTTGCACCCATTTGAGGATTTCTTAAGTTCATATATTAGTTTTTTTTTCAAATTTTCAAATTTAGCATTTTGTTAGCAACAACTCAAATAATTTATCTCAGATATAAATAACACTTATCTTCTTGTTCGTACATTGTGTTGATTTAATCACAAACTTATAACATTGAATAGCAGTGTTTACTTTCCTTTCCACAGATTTCTCCGGAAAACATAGCTTTACTATTTTTTTTTCCGTAATTAACATACTTAAATGGAGATTTCTTTAATTGCATCCTTTGATCTAAGAATATTAACCAATTCTATAAGAAAATGATTTCTTCATAGTATCTGCTTTGTCTCATAATTTAAAAAAAATGCATCAGTGACATGTCAACAAAACTCCCATAAAACATATTGGAAGGGCGATTAATTTCTATAATTAAATTATTCTCTTATATCTTATACATTGAAAATATAGATAATACTTGAATATAAGCAATATATAGTAGTCAAACAGTTATTGTAGCAAATTTTCAAAACGTTGAAGAAACTAAAATGGATTTGCACAGAGAGTTTTTTGCATTTTTATAGTTTATTTTTATGTCTTTGTTAGTTTTAGGTCATTATGCCACCAATAGTTTTGGACCATCACTTGAAAAACGAAATTCCCTTTCCTAGCAATAAAGCATTAAAATATTGCTTCCGCAAAAAAACTGGTTAAAAACTTATTAAACCCCCCAAAAAAATTATAAGTTATTAAACCCAGCAATCAAAATTTTTTTAATCTCATTATGTTACTATTCAAAGGTTTTATTTATAAGTTACTAAATAATGTGTAATGAGAAGCAGCAGTAAAATTTGCTGTAAAAATTGTAAATGATTATTGGTGGTCAAAATAGATGCGGCTACGAGTAGCCTCATTTGTTTTAATAAAATGTTATTGTATAAAATAATCACAAAGTTTTAATTTAAAATCTGGTGCGATAACTATTTATGGAAAAAAAAAGTTAAAATCATTTTTATCACCGGATGTGTTATTTCCTTTTTAAGAAAAAATTTCATTCATATATCTCTAAAATCAACATAAAAAAATCTTTTTTTTTAATTTAAAAAAAATCAAACCCTTTTTTTTTATTAAAAAAAAAAAAAGCAATGTGTCAGATAAGAATTATCAATTAGGGTTCCATCGTCGATTTGTATTTTTCATTTTTTTATTGTATCGTTATTTGTTCATTAATAATGCATACAGGACAAATCTGGAGATTATCAGTTTGCTCAGATCACCATTTAAAGCGTTTTTTCCATCTGTCGTTTAGGGAAAGCATGTGAATGCTTAAAGCGTCACCATACATTTGCAATTTGTAAAGTTTCATTTTTTAGAGTTGATGAACCACATGTAGCTATTTTATTGGCTTCAAATTAAGAATCAGGAGGTTTTTAAAAATAAATTATTTCTACATCAAAAAAATTATAAAAGCATTTTAAAGCTTTTTTTTTTTTTTTTTTTTTTTTGGCAATATTTATAATTGCTGCAATAAGTAATCTGATTTAAATATTTACACAGTCGTACAGAGATTTCTTACAGAAAAAAACCTAAAGTTTAAATAGATACAAAAATAACTACTACCCCCTGATTTTTTTGTTTAGTAGTGCGGTGTTGTAACTTAAAGTTATTTTGCTTAAAAAGTCTGGGCAGTATTTATTTACTCAATACAAAACTGTTTTGTGTTTTAAAATAGTTTGAACAAATATTAAAATTTGTTTTAAGGAGAAAATGAGAAAGTTTGTTCTGGTTTGTATGTGCATTGTGTTCCAGACTAGTAAAGGTAAATTGTTTTATATATAATTAAAACCTTTATAGATGTCAATTCTTAAGTATAACGTTATTGCCGATTAAACGTCAGAGTAACGGATTCACGGTTTAGTGAACAAATTATATTGTTATATTAGCGACTATTGTGTCAATAAGGTTAAGCATTCAATGGTTTTATAAGTGAATTGGGAATCAAGTTGAGAAATCTTTTATATTGGTAGCAGCAAAAAATCTTTGACTGGGAAATAAAATATAAAATAATAAAAATCATTATTATTATATAAATACTGAAAATATACTTGAATATATTCAAAGACTACGTTTATAAACGCTAATTAACTGAGTTAATTAGCGTTTATAAACGTAATTAATTAAGACTGCTTAATTAGTTGACTAGAATTGTGTTAAGACCTGTTAAAAGGTCTTTTACATAGCCATCTGCTTAAAGTCAAGAAATTAAACTAATAGATAAAAATATAAAATAATAGAAGTAACAATTTATATATAAGTTTTGAAAGTATATTTGAATATAAAGAATTATACAAGAACTATAAATTTGAAAGAACTATAATTAAAAACTTCATTAATAACATCTAACTGGCCGAAAAAAGGTTACACTGTCTTAAATGCTTCTTTTTTTTTTTTTTTTAAATTGCATTATGCATTTCCAAATCTGCAGAAATGTCTTACAACAGTTTCGAAACAATTAGGTTTTAATTTGAAAATAAAGTCTTCATAAACGCAACTCAGACAGCATGAATAAAATTTATTTTATGGAAACTTAAAAAGGTTGATTTCTGCTACAAATGCAACAAAAAAATATAATATACACCTATTATTATATACTTGCAATTTCTACAACATTGGAAACCAGGCTTTAGTTTTCGTCAACAAGGTCATTTTAAATCCGCACGTGCATTGCGTAACGAATTTCTTTTATTTAAATTTTTTTAAATAATCAAATTCATTTTCAATCACTGCATTATAAAAATAAAAAGAAGAAAATTTTGAATAAACTAAATTTAGTAAACAGAACATAAAAGTATTAAATAATTTAAATTTTAAAATATTTCATAAATAATGAAAAGAATTGTTTAACAAATATTGTATACGTAAATAAACATCCTAAATAAATATTTTTGATAAAAATATAATTTTGATTTAGTTATCATTGTATTTTAGACTTTGAAAGAATTTAAAATAGCAATATAAAAATAAAACAGTTTTTTTTTTTTTTGTTTTTTTTTTTTTTTTGTTTTTTTGAGTAAATAAATGTTATTATAATGATTAGTTTTAGGGTCTCCAAATTCACCGGTTTAAAGCCCCATAAATCCTAGTGGCGGAACCGTTTTAAATATATATAATATATAACTATACACATTTAAGTGAAATATATTTTTATTTTGTAAACCTGCGTTTGTTGGAAATCTTTTTTATTTATACTATAGCTCTTCCCGCCAAAAAAATGGTCGTTGAAGGAGACATTTTAGTAACAAAAAATGTGGCTGAGTTCATGGTTGGAAGCGGAAGGAAAAGAAAAGCAATGAAGGGCGATATAATGCAGTGGGAAGGAGGAATCATACCGTATTCCATATCTTCTGATATAGGTTTGAAATATATTTTTGCAGTTAAAAAAATTAACAGGAAAAAAAAAAGTTAATCAAGCAAATAATCTAAACTTTTAATATTTATCCCTAATATCTATCTAAATTAAAACTAAATTACAGATAGATTATAAGTATAATTATAAAATTAAGAAGGAATTAAATTTGTATATATTTTAGTAATTCATATTAGTAAATAACTTAAGTACTGAGTACTAAGTTTACAGCTTTTTATCATCTTTTTGCACCTTTGACCCAACCATATATTTATTGACAAAACCAGGAATAATAATTTAATTACTCAGGATTATGACAGCTGTAAAAATATGTCAATCAACAACATGCTTGTCAACAGCATCTTGCTGATTGTCTGTCATGTCATCCAACATGTCTGTCATTTTCCAAAAAGATGTTGCATAAACAAATCTTATGAGACAAAAAACAAATCTTATAAGAAAACAAAATTATGTAACTGCGAAACAAATAAATAAAAAGCAAGACATAAATAATATACAAAAAATAGTAAATAAACAAGTTTTTTTTATGGTAGTTATTTTACGGCTGTATATTTATGTATAATTAACACTAATTAAAATGTTTTTTTTTTTAATTTCTTTAGAGCCTCAAGTTCGCCAAATTATAGATAACTCGTTTAAAGTATACGAGTTAAAAACATGTTTAAAATTTGTACCTGCGAAAACAACTGATAGCGATTATATTCATTTCATTAAAGACAAAGGGTAAGAAATTACTTAAGTACTTGTTCTAAGTTATAATTACGGAAATATTTTCTGTAACAATAAATTGTTACAGAAAACGCATATTGTAAAACAGCATCATGAAACGGTATAACAATAACATTTTATTGCCTAAAGTTAATAATTTATTGCCAAAATTTTAAGCTTCGTAAAAATTTATTATTTATACATTTAAATCAAGTTTAAAAAAATATTTTAAGGTGTTACTCAGCAATCGGAAGACAGGGAGGGGAACAAGTTATTTCAATCGGAGATGGTTGTCAAACACAAATGCACGTGCTTCATGAGCTAATGCACGGTATTGGTTTTTTTCATGAGCAGTCTCGTTTTGATCGCGAGCTATATGTAAATATACTTTGGTGGAATATTGCTGACGGTATGTTTTTCATTATAATACATATTATGTATATATAATAAACCTAAAAAGTTATATAACAAATTAAATCAATGAACCAGTAGTTTATACAACAAACTGATTACAATCGTCTTAAAATTTGCACTTTGCAACTCCTTTCTAAAATTTGAAACTTTATTTTTTTAATAAAATTCCAAGCATTATAGTTTTTAACATGAATGCATAATTTAAATTTTTAAACTTTTAATATAACGGGTTATAACTAAAAAACGGTAATAACTTTAAAAGGGGATAAATCTATTGTTGCATGAGATAAAAACTTAATTTAAAAAAAAAAAAAATAGTATTTTAGGTAAGCCATTTATTTGCATATTAATTTTTTTCGATCAAACGATTGCGACATACAGTCTAATCGACGCCGAATTGACTCAGAAAAGCGCTGTACAAGAAATTTTTCCATTTTAGAAATGCAATACATTATTCTGTTGCGCAATTTCTCGAGATTATCAGCTTTCCAATTATTCTCATACACTTTTCCTTTTAGAATACTCCAAAAATCTTAAATCGGACGACATTCAGGTATATGTGCATCGACGACATTCATTCATATGTGCATCGGACGACATTCAGGCATTCATGTGCATCGGACGACATTCAGGCATATGTGCAGGGACGACATTCAGGCATATGTGCATCGGACGACATTCAGGCATATGTGCATCGGACGACATTCAGGCATTCATGTGCATCGGACGACATTCAGGCATCGGACGACATTCAGGCATCGGACGACATTCAGGCATCGGACGACATTTAGGCATTCATGTGTAGGGTTATCTACTCTTTTGACAAAAATGATCTTTTTCTTATTCATGTAGTTTTGTACAGATTTTGCGTAATGAGACGTACCAGGTTAGGCCAAAATATGTATTCACCATCAGAATGATGCTTTTTGATAAATGGAATTAGATTGTTTTTGATACAATTATTTTTGTAGACTTCTTGGTTGATTGCAAAACCACTTTCTCTGAGTATTGGCGAAGATATTCCTTTATCGGAAAATCAAATCCAAACGAGTAATTTCTTTTCATATTTTGCAATGGGGTTGAATTTAACACTTGTTGGTGTTTGAGAAACATCAATTAAATAATATTATTTCCATTAATTGAAAAGTGGTCAAGTGTGAAATACGACACGTCGTCAAGGATTAACAATTTATTGGCAGAAATTCGATACAGCCGACCGCACATTGTTCGAGTTGTCTCTATTTTGTCACAAATTCTTAATGGAATCTTGTTCTTCATCTTTGGTCTGATTAAGGATTTTGATTTTTGATCATATATACATGGGTGCAGTTAAAATTCCGAGCTGTTTGTGTTTGCGACATGCCGTTTTTGTGGTCAAACGTTGTTTTAAGCCTTTCGATGTTCCTTTCTGTCATTATTTTAGCAATCCTACCACATCCATGGACTCGCTGGTGCCCAGAATTATTTTCAGCGCGTTGAATAATGGTTTAGATAGTGTTAACGGAATTTTTTCAGTAAGAAAGTGATCAACTGAAAACTTTTTCCCTTTAGATCAATTTTTTAAATAAAAGCTTTACAAATGGTTTCGACAGACTTCTTGTTTTTCTTTCATTTTCTCTGTAGCTTTACATTAATATAATTCAAAATAAAACAAGTTTTGTCGAGAATTGAAAATACTACAAACTAGGTAAGATTACAATCATAATTAATACAAAGTATGTTACATAACTTTTTCTTCAAAGTCATTACCGTTTTTTAGTTATAACCCGTTATCAGCAAATATTATCAAACACAGATTTACCTTTAATAATTTCAGTAAGAGGAAAATAAGCAATGTTTCAACTAAAATAAAGTCATTAGCTTAGTCTAATATTAAAAGACAGTAAAATTTTATCCCTGTGGGCATGGTACGTTTTTAAAACTTACTTTGGACGTTTTTATTAGGTTTAAACCTAGGTAAAACGTCCAAAAACGTTTTAAAAACATACCATGCCTACTGGAATATATTTAGTTCTTGAATATTTACTTAATATTTTTTGTTATTTTTTATAGATGCTTTCAAAAATTTTGCGAGTTATGATCATGGAAAACTTGACACTTTAGGTGCACCATACGACAAACACAGTATCCTTCACTACAATAACAAAGCTTTCTCAAAATACGGTGACAATACTATAGAGTCTATTGATAATCCTGAAGAAGAGTTGGGTGGAGAATCTCTGAGTGACATTGACATCCAGCAAATAAACAAACTATATAACTGCAATTTGTAGTCTGGTGTGTTTCGGAAAATTACTGTAAATTATTTGTACATATATAATTATTTAACTTATATGTCTTTGTATGTTTACAATAGACTCAATATTGACTGTTATAAACATTATTTAAAAGCAATTTAAAAATTCAGCAAAATAAAAGATTTATGTAATAAACCTTTTTAATTTTTTAAATTAAAGATAAAATTAAAAAAGAAAAACAAGATCAAACGAATAAGTCTGGTTATAGGGTGCAAATTATTTCTCTAAGTAGTAGCTTTCTATATCTCTGGATGGAACTGATTTATACCTCTGAATGAGACAATATTGTTAATTTTTGCGGTCTTTGGTCTAAAAACAACGATAATGCGAAATTTGATTATAAAAATGTTTTATATATTTTTTTAAAAACGCGAATCAACAGACAATAAAATAATATTAACAAATCTTAAACTGCCTACAATATATCAGCAACAATATAAATGTTGGATCGTAGCAAAATGACCGAGAAGATAAAAATCTATAAAAATCAAGTATAAAAAAAAGTAACCAGACCCAATATATGATCAACAAGTGATTTTTTTGTGCATTGTTTGTTTATGGGCAAGTTTGGCCATTTGTAAACAATTCTATACCAAGTTTATTTTATTTTTTTATTTTATATTATGCTGTTTGTTTAAAGACTCTATGACAATTCAAACATTAGTAAAAAAATAAATGTTTCAGTTGGTATTTAAACCAACTACAAAATTCAAAGAACATTGCTATTAATAAGTTTAGTTTTTGAAAGAAAGAATCGTAATTATATCTTTGCTAGTGAGCTTAAATATTGGATGCTATTGTTCAAAAGCTAATGTTCGATTGTTAGCATTGATTGCTTTATAATATTTCTGTTCTGAGTCAACTTGGTATATTTAAAATAAAAAACAAAATGTTGTGAGTAATACAATTAAGTTTTACCTACAAACCAAGGTAAGATCCTAAAATAAAAGTATTTGCAAATTCTCAAAATACTGTATTAAGAAATTTTCGATCATCAAGGAAATCTGTTACACATTTGCTTAAGTAAGATTTTTTGGTTTATAAACTTATGTTACATTGAAAATTTTTTTAATACTAATTAATAATATTCTTAATTGTAAAAATGAAGTTAGTTAAAGAAGTTCAATAAGTTTTTTTTTTGTAGTTGTTAAACGAAGCACAGTATTACATAATAGACTAAAAGGTATAAAGGTTAAATTTTCAGCACTCTATACAAAAAATCTAATCTGATACTTGGATTGATCTTGTGATCTATTGTAAAAGGTTGGGTTGGCAGAAAATTTGCTAAAACGCAATATCAAAGTATAGTTTGTTAGACTTTTGTCAAGAAAAGTAAAAAATACTTTTGAGGTAAAAAAAAAAAGTAGCTATATAATTATTATTTTATATGTTTTATCTGGTTAATATGCAGTTAGGGCAACCGAATTTAATTAATTAGTTCAGCAAAGAAACAGTGTCGCGTGGCACAAGTGGTAAATGTTATAAAAAAAAGTTATCTTTACAAAATTGATATTTTTCACTAATGGATTGCAATCCTTAAACATTAATTATAGGTAGTAATAAGAGAGTGGTTTAGCCACTGAGATTAGTTATAACCTGAAAGTTAAAATCAGAATTTCACTTAAAAACCTTTTGTTCACCCGGTATATACCAAAATCTTCAAGCTGTAATCTTTTATTTGTTATCTCCTACCTATTATCTGTCACTTTATTTTTGAGGTTTTAAAAATAGAAAAAAAAAAAAAAAAGCCAACTTGAACCAAGGAAGTATAACAGACTATAATACCTCCTTGCTTGAACCATATGCTTGCAGGGGTAATTTTAAGGGAAAGGGGGGAAGTGTGTGGGGTGAGTGATAGGGAATATTGTTGGCTAGTTTGCGTTAGACACATTTCAGTATGAATATATTTAGTTTTGAGAATTAGAATGATATAATATTAGAATCATTTGTGAAATTATATATTTTATAAGTTTTTGTTAATTAATAGAACATTAACTTATTTATCAAATGGATCTAATAGTGGTTGCTTTACAATAGGGATTTTTATTGATTTTTCAAAAGCTTTCAACACAATCAACCATGAGATAACAGAAAGCAGTTTATACTCAAAGAATCAAAACTTAAAATATGGTGGGGTACTCCAAGGTTCTATTTTAAATCCAATATTATTTCTAATTTATATAAATGACTTGAATTTAGCATCAAAAAAGTTACAGTAATCAAAAACATGCTTGCAGGATAATATTTTGGGCAAAAATAAACCCATTTTGCAAACCTCTCCAAAATCAGCTTAGAACAATAGATATTTATAAACTTAATATTTATCAAGTGATATTAATTATGTTAGGTCTTCTTGGGGCACCTAAATAACAACAAAAAAAAAACAAAAAAAAAACGTGGGTTATCTCCAGTAACATTTTATTCTTTAATGAAGTGTCTCATAAATGTTCTATCGATTTTTCTGAAAACAAAGTTCTCATTCCCTAAACCCATTTTAAGTTAAGTTTGTACCAAATTCAATATTGTGGACCTTTTGTTTGAAAAATTTTTCCAAACGAAAGGTCCGGTTAGCTAAAAAAACAACAACAGCTCTTTAATAAATAATAAAAGTAATTTTTAAAACAAACATATGAAATTATTTTCACAAATTCAATTATTCCAAGTAAACTACGTTGTAATCAGAAAAATTCAGATTTTTTGCATTAGTTCTTGTTCAGCAATTAAAAGCTCTTCTTCGTTGTCGGTTAGCAACTTATCATCAGTTATTTGATTGTTACCATCTTGAAATACTTTCTTGCAGTAATCTTTAAACTCTGAATAAAAATTTTACCGCTGTCAATACATATTCAAAAATAAAAAGGACTTAATACACATTAATAAACTATTTATTACAACTTATTATTAAGCATTTAACTCGATACTCTCAATTTAATTTATTATTTGTCTCATATTAAATTATTGCCCATTTAATCATATTGTTATTCAACTAACCTTCTAATGTAAACAATCCTTTTTCCCTGTTGCTGCATTCTTCTATAAATTTTAAGCATTCATCTGCGGTATACATTTCCCCACAATGTCTGAACGCTAGCTGAAGGTCAACAGAAGACACGTACCCATCGTTACTTTTATCAATAAAGTTAAAAACGCTTTCTAATTCAATTTCAGTTGGTCTTTCCATAAGGACTCTTCTAACTGTATCTTTAAAGTTGTCCAAAGTTATTCCACCTAATCCTAGTTAAAAAAAAAAAAAATGAAATTTCTTATAAAAGAACTAAAAGAAGAATAAATGTTACTTAAAAAGCTTTTTAAGTAACAAGTATTTACAAGGTTTATTTTTGTTTGTCTCAATTACGTATGACACAAACATGTTTTACCTACTTATTTTTAAAGTAACTTTACATTTCTTTATTGGTTAGAATCCGCGTGGATTCTGTTGTGCACACAACAACTAGTTCTATGCAATAAATGAAAATATGATGTGACAGTGTTAGGATGATTCCTACACCACTCTATTTTCTTTTAAAAATATTTACACGTTTTTAAAAGAAAATAGAGGTTAAAAATATTTTTAACCTTTATTAATTTAAGATTTCTGAACAGTTTTAAATAATAACTTTAAATGTAATAGAGAACTGTGGATCTTTTTTTATAGTTTACACAATCCCAGAAAAAGGAATACATTTAGAAGATAATTTGCAAAGGTTTTGCACCCTAAAAACGACACTGGATGCAAGTCTTTGCAATATATAAAACCTTTAACTTATAGTGTAGCTCTAATTTAAATCGCGTACTTCTCATTAAATTTAAGTTTTTATTTACAAATTTATTACATAAAACTCACCAACCACATCAATCTCCTCCATTAAAATGTCAATATCATCACGTGAGAATTTGAAACCGAATTCTGATATTGCTACAAGCAAGTCATTTGCAATTATCATTCCTGATCCACTTATATCAAACATTTTGAAGCATTCAATTATTTCTAAAGAAAAAAATTTCCCATTTTTAATAGTTAGCATTATTTTTAGACATATTTTAAATATTAATCCAACAGATTACATAGTAACTGTACAGTTTACATAGTAACCATGCAGTTCACATAGTAACCGTACAATTCACATAGTAATTATACAGTTATATCTGCTACATATAATCTGAGCGCTATACTACACAAAGTTCAATTTAAAAAATAAATTGTCAAACTTGCAATTAGATCTTGGAACTATTGTGGGTTTTGTTAATTAGATACTTACCAAACCTAAAACTACACGAGGAAAAAACTGAATGCAAAATTTATTACGTTTTTGTTTTTTTTAGCATTATATTTTGCCGTTTAATAAGTATTACAGTTTACATAAATTTACAATTAAGTTAATGGCCGGAGCAAGAAGAAGGCATTAATTTGCCTTATCGCCGAGCACCGTTTTACAATTTATAATTTTTTGCAAAGTTATTGAAGAATATATAGTATATAAGAAAAATTGAATAAATCTTTACAAAAATATAAAAAAATAAAATAAGATATATATAAGATATATATACATATATATATATATATATATATATATATATATATATATATATATATATATATATATATATATATATATATATATATATATATATATATATATATATATATATATACATATAGAACTTGCCCATATGATGTTGCCATACATTAACTGTGTATAAAAAAAATATATAAATTTTTTAAGGACTTAAATTTTAAAAATGGTCTAGCCTTATAGATCATTCCAATGTTTTTTGAAATTTTTTTTTCTATAGAATTTACATGTATTTTCCATGATAAATTTTCATCAAAGCTCACACCTAAAAAATTTACAGATGTTTGTCTTTGATGTTAGTTTTATTTATTAAGAAATTGGGCAGAATAAGCCGTATTTTTATTTCTTTTGTTTAGTTTGTGGAAAAAAGAAAAATTAGTTTTTTGAACATTCAAAGGCAATTTGTTGCATATAAACCATTCATTTACTTTATTTAGTTCGTCATTTACTACGGTAAAAAGTGTTTCAATATTTTTGTGAGAATAAAAAAGATTCGTGTTTGATCATGTGTTGTCAAGTTAAGAAAATTATATCTGCTTTTAATAAATCTTTAAATTATCACAAAATAGATTTGGAACTCGTTCAAAATATTGCAATTAGTTATTCAATGACACACCAAAAAATGTTTTCAATCAATCAATTCATATATTCTGAAAGTTGTCACATTCACGGAGTTGTCACATTCACGGGAGTTTACAAATAGTATATGTACTAATCTTAAGTAAAAACCTTGTAAATAAAAGCTAATAAATATATTGTTAATGCTAATAGTAATATTAATCGTCCACATCAGTAACAAAACAAACATTAAAAGTTGAAGGTGTAAAAATACTAATAATGATAATAAAAGTTGTAGTTGTATCAATAATAACATTACAATGATAAAAGTAAAATAATAATATTAAAAATTAAATGATAGAAATAAAAATAATTACAATAATCATAAAAAAAATAATAGTAATTTAGTATTAGTCACACACATACACACATATACAGACACATACAAATACACGCATACAAACACACATACACACTTACGTTCACAAATACATATAAACACATATGCTTATATCCCCCTGTATTCAATACAGGTATGTATACATTAATTGTATACAAACATAATATACACCCATATATGTAGATTTATATATACTATACACAAATAAACGTATATGCATACACGTACATATACATACACACATACATAAACACATACATACATACACATATACAAACATAAATACATATACACACATTTAATAATATTATATATGTGTATTATATATGTATATATTAGATACACCTACACATATATTCGCATACACATATACACACACACACACACGCATATATATATATATACATATACATACACACACAAACACATATATATATATATACTTACATACATATACACACATATACAAATATATAAACATACACATACAGATATACACATCCATGCATACATATACACATACATGCGCTTATCACAAACACCTATACACAGATACATATCTTTGTATTTTTTTAACTGTATTTGATTAGGAAGGAATGAAACAGGTTACTTTTAAAAACATAGATTGAATGAAGAGCTTTTAGGTCATAGGGAAGGTTATTCCAGGATTTTATATTTTGGTTTTTTATGGACTTATATCCATAAGTAACAGAACGATGTTTTAAGACTGCAAGATTGAGGTTATCAATTGATCGAAGATAGAAACGGTTATTTGCATTTTTTTGGAAGAAATTGCTGAAGGTAAGAGTTAGGTATTTATGTTGGTGATTCCAGACAAACTGGCAATTCAAGAATTAAACAAGGTCACATAGTTTAAGGATCTTAGAAGTAAGATAAAGCACATTAGGATTGAACTTGTAATGCTGAAAATGTATTATTTTCAAAGCTTTGTTTTGAAGATGGGATATCCTTAAAACTACTTGCTATTGAGAGTGTCCCCATATTTAACAAGCATATCGTATATGTGAGCCAAAAATGGGATGATATATATTTATTAGTGTTTCTAGATTGACATAATGGCGAGCTTTTGCCAGCATCCCATTTGATATGATTAATTTTATAGCCAAGTCATTAAGATGGGACACAAACGATAGGTTATCAATTATAATTTTAAGGTGTTTGATAGAGTTTACAGGAATGATTTTCTGGCCACTTAATCTAAAATTTAAATTTTTATTGATTTTTGTTTTATTAGATTTGAATATGACCAGTTCAGTTTTGCGACAATTGAGATAAAGCTTATTTGAGGGAAGCCACTGAACTAAATTGGCAAGATTATGATTAATGTATTCCTTAATTTTTTTAAAGATTTGTTGATAATGAGCAAGTTAGTATCATTAGCAAAGTGGTAAGGAGTTGCAAATTTAATTGAGTTATTAAGGTCATTAATATAAAGAAGAAAAAGTAGTGGTCCTAATCGGGGCCGGCGCGAGTAGGTGTCACGTGGGGAGGGGGGGTAATTAAGTTTGTGATTTATAATCATAAATGTTAAATGATTTTGTTCTATATAAATATCTACTGCAAATGTAATTACAAATAAACCATAATCAATTATTCCGACTTGGTGCTGACATAGTAGGTATTGAAGCAGTTATTTGTTTTCTATAAAAAACATTTAAAAGTTCTCAAAAATCAACATTAGACAAAGAAGTGAAATAAAATTTTCCGTGTTGTATTCAAACCAATTTTAATTGAAAATTTTACTTGAAACTTTAAAGCAAATAGCTTTATTTCATTTTTATGGAATCATTGTCTTTGATGTGTACCTATAACAGTTAAAGGTACAAACCTTTGGTTACTTTTTAAATGTAACCCTTGGTTTTTTTAAAACTTAATCCTTGGTTACATTTAAAAAGTAACCGAGTGTTAAAACTTGGTTACTTTTTACCCATGTTATAGGTAAAAACCTACGTTATAGGTAAAAAAACCTATGTTATAGGTAAAAACCTACGTTAACTGTTTATACATGTAACTCGTGTCATTAACGTAAACGTAACAAAAGTCATAAATGTAAATACAATGGTTTGTACCTTTGACCTTCTAGCCTCCCAGTGTGGACGGGACGTAAAAAAGACGTCCTTTGGACGTTTAACCAGCGTCCGTCTGTCCCATTTAAATTCCAAACGTCTTTTGAACGTCTTTTTCGCGTCCCATAAATACTTAAAACGCGCAACCACCCAGGGTTGCTATCTGTTTTTTTTTTCAAGCCAGATTTCTCAAATCTGTTTTTTTTTTTTTTTTTTTAGGGTTTTTTGTGAAATTTTTTTCTTGGTTTATTTTAGAAAATATGTTTTAAATCTGTTTTTTTTTTTTTTTTTAAAGTGCTCGGTGTTTTTTTTTCTTTTTGGATTATTATATTAAATCTGGTTTAATTCTGGTTTGTTTTTAGTTAAATCAATTTAATCAAGCTTTTTTGTTTTAGAAAAAAAATTGAAATAGAGCAAAATAAGCACAAATGAATAAAATTATGAATGAAAAGAAAAAAAAAACGAAATTGAGTAAAAAAATTTTTTGTTTGTTTATTACGGTTTATTAAAGAAATTCAAAGAATGAATGTTTATTCATTTCAATTATTAGTGAAACAAGTTCAAACAATTTGTTTGGAATCGTTCCATTCATTTAAAATTCTTTTTTTTTCTTTTCTTCAAAAAGTTTTTTTTTCAATAAATTATTGCATTTGCGGAAAATATTAGAAAAATATGGCATTTAAGAAGACGATTTAAAGTGAAATACTTTACTCAGAAACGGTAAAACGAATTTTTATTGTTTCTGCGGATATTGTAAATAAGTGTTACTGTTTAAACAATAACTATCTTTGCTTTCTTCTTAAAATATCTAATTTGAAAATTATTCAGATGGTTGATTGGTTTATTAATCTGTATCTTATACTTGACTTTTTGTTTTAGATTAGCACCTTTAAATTGACAATGCCAAACAAAAAATCATATGAAAACTCTCGTAGTTATCGAAGTGAGTGGAAAAAAGAATTTACCTGGGTAAAAAAAGACATCTGAACAAGCTTTTTGTCGCCTCTGCCGCACTAATCTACGTTCACACAAAGGTAGCTTAGTGCAACATCAAAAGGCAGCATACATTAAAAGAGAAAAAACCTTGAATCCATTTCAAAAGAAGATTAATTTTCCGGGTCAAGTAAAAGTTTCAGGTGTAAACAAAAAAGCAGACATTCAGCTTGCTATGTGTATTTGCTGTCACTCAGCAATTTTAACTGCTGACCATTTGAGTAAAATTATTTCTAAGTTTGGTGTATGTAGTCCCCTGGAACATCTAAAACTCCACCGCACTAAGTGTACTAAAGTAATCTAGAATGTCATCTCATTAACTCTAGAAGAAGAAATTTCTAAAGAAATCAAATCAAAGCCGTTTTCCATCCTCATAAATGAATCAACGGATGTGAATTCAATTAAGCATCTAGCATTAAGCGTGAGATATTTTTCAGAAAAAGAGAAACAGATTGTCGATTACTTTCTTGGTCTTATTTAAGTGATCTCAACAACTGGCAAAGATCCCTTTAATGCTTTGAATTATAAACTTGACTCCATTGGATTAATTTTTAAAAACTGCATCGGATACAGTTCAGATGGCGCTTCAAATGTTATTGGCACACATAACTCAGTCTGGTCTCGTGTTCTGACTAATTCGCCTAATGCCTGTATAATGATGTAATCGCCTATATTATGATGAGGTGCATTTGTCACTCTCTAAATCTTGTAGTGCAAAATGTTTTTAATGCAATTCCATCTCAGTCTGAGCGAGGTTCCCCGGTTTTTTAACGAGAGCATTCTTCGTCAAAACGAGTATGAAAAACTATTTGAACTCATGAATCCAAATAATAAACGCGTGGAAACCCCATCCCTTTTTCAGAAATTTTCTGCAACTGGTTGGTTGGTTCGAGGAAAGTGTTTTTATAACTTACTTGTGAATTGGCAAGAACTAAAAGCATTCTTTATTTGTGCTGAAATGAATGCAAACTCTGAGGTACGTTACAAAATTTCTTCAATAAGCAAAATGTTCCAAGACAGCACCCTTTACCTCTATGTTGTTTTGCTCACTCCAGTCATTCAAGAGTTTGAGCGTCGAAACTCTCTCTTTCAAGGGTCAAATGTTAATCCAGAAGATCTAATAAATGAGCTAAATATGCATCTCAAAAGCCTAAAGCAGCTTGTTTTTGATACCAAGGGGTTTGTAATCCCTCTTCAGTGTGTTGATTTTGGGGCCAAGTTATCTTCAGAGTGCCAAATTTATATTCAAGGGCAACCTCCAAATGCAAAACTAAATGCAGAAGAATCAGTCAAAAATGTAAAAATTCGCTTTCATGATTTCATTCAGAGGGCTATAACCGAGCTTGAAAAAAGACTTCCAGAGAACAGATTAATTTTTGACGGCTTGTCAAATCTGTCTCCAATGAAATTTTTTTCCCAAGTTGAAAAGTTTCCATTTTCAAAGCTACTTTTCCCTCACCTAATGGGTACAAAGTCAAGAAATTGAAAACCAATACAGAAAAGTCAGTATCGTTGAATGGACTGAGTCTGACATTTTTAAAGAAAAAGAAGTTCCTAAAAATACTGCTAAATTCTGGATAGCTTTAAGGGACTGTCAACATTTTTTGACTTCCCGCTTTCGCAGGTCACTTATGTGAAAAGCAAACAGAGAAACAGAATGTCAAACCAAGTGTTGGATGCAGTCATTCGCATAAAATCTAATTTAATGAGCCGAAAGATTTGTTGTCAAGACTTTAACATTCCTGAATCAATGATTTCAAAGGTCGGAAATGAAATTTACTCTACAGATGTATGCGAAAAGAGATTAAAACTTAGTCAAATAAATTTTTGAATAAAATAGTTTTACTTTATACTTCTTTATTTTTTTTTTGTTCTGGTTTATTTCTAGCTTATTTTTTATTTATTTTTGGCTTGTTGCCACAAAAAAACCTGGCAACCCTGCAATCATCAAGACTTATTTATTTTTGTTAATTAAAAGCGCATTTTTAATACAAATGTAGATGAAAATTTCAAGTGTAAAAGAACTTTCAAATGTAAAAGTTTTTTTATCGCTCATCGAAATAATAAATGAAGAGTGACTAAAAGTCAAGTTCTTGCAAATTTATATATATATATATATATATATATATATATATATATATATATATATATATATATATATATATATATATATATATATATAATAATTATATTAATATGTTTTACTTATATTTTTTTATTATATTATTTTTTTATTACATTTATATGTTTTTTACATATTTAATTACTTAAAAATCATGTTAAATATTGATACAGAAATTGAAAGAAATAGTTTAAAACTGAGTATATGATTTACTATAAATGCTAAGTATATATCTGGTTCTTGATATACTATATCAAGAACCATGTTCTGATTATTTGAAAGATTTAGACATCGCAGAATCTCATGCAGAATCATATTTTCCAATATAATATAATCAATAACACTTGAATAACTCCTGTATAACAATGTAACAAAATATTTTAAAATTATATAATTAATCTAGAATCTACTTGCAAAAAAAAGTAAGAAAGAAATCAGTTACCTAAATATACAAAAACTAAGTTAAGAGACAAACACAGTTTTGATTTCCGTCAAATATGAGTAATATCTTCAAATTTAAAACCTTAAGAGATTAGTAAATTCTAGCTGTAGAGTGTAGCGATTGCAAACAATCTCTAGTTCTATCTATAAATGATATTTTTGACACAGAAAGTTCTTTTTACTTTACAATATTCATTTTCGTATATCTTATATTGCATTTTTACAAAAACATGACTTCAAAGTTTTTATACGAATAAGTTTTTATTAAACAAAGTTTACATATCAATTAAAATATTTTGTAACACATAATTTTAATCACATAATTTTAATCACAAAACATTTATATTTTCCAAAAGACAGTGCTTTATGGGTAATAAAATGTTTACTCAAAGAAGGTAGCTATACAAAAATGTCAGTTTATTTTGTAAACTTATTTCTAAAGACGCTAAAAATCATAACGCACATAGAATTTCAGTTACTGGTGGCGCCTCTACAACAATGCGTCAAACGTACATGTGTCCTTAAGGAACATATCCTCCTCCATTAAAATCAATTGATTGGATAATTAAGTTTAAAAACCTTATCAATCATAATAAACCTTTTTAAATTTTTTTATTTGCAAGAAAGATGTCGTTCTTTTTATCTATAATTTTGGTTTGTTATTTACTATTACTACTCATTTATTATTTCTATTATTACTGTTATTATTGTTGTTTTTTGTCATCGTTATTATTTATAAATGTCATTACAGTTATTTTCACTATTACTATAGTTATCTTTATTATAATGTAGACTTTTACTTAATCGATTAGTAATGGCACTATTTGTAAAAGCCCTTGAAATTTACGACTTATTTTAAAAATATTTAATTTGTATTTAATTTAAACTTTGAATTTGTAAATAATTTTTTTTTTTTTTGCGATTGGAGTATCTGGTAAAAAGATTGCACATTAGAGGTATAATATTTTTACAAACTCAATGAGCATGTCAAATTTTGATGAGCTTTTGTAAATAATTAAGAGAAGTAAGTTTCATTATAATGTTTATAGAAAAAAACTCACGCACTGACCCTCTAGAAAGCCGAGCCAAAAGCTGTTAATCACATAACAAATACGCCTAGAAATTCTTTACTGACAATTTGAAGTAAAATGTTATCCGTTTTGTCCTAAAATCAGTGCTCGAAGTGAGGCGGGATAAAGCGGGATGCCATCCAGTCACCTTTTTTTAAATATAAACCATTCCGCCACTTTTTTGTAAACCTCTCTATATAACAATGATTAGACGGCATGGTATTTTTAATTTACCGAATACCGTTACTTTTTTTTCTCCACTTCGAGCACTACCTAAAATAATAATTTATGTTCAAATAATTAATATATATATATATATATATATATATATATATATATATATATATATATATATATATATATATATATATATATATATATATATATATATATATATATATATATATATATATATATATATATATATATATATATATATATATATATATATATATATATATATATATATATATATATATATATATATATATATATATATATATATATATATATATATAAATTAGGGTGGTGCTTAAAACAACTTTTTTTACCCCTAAAAAAAGTTGTTAGGGGTAGCTCAAGGCCCTCAAAAATTTGACGGGTCCCTAATATTTTGAAAAAAAAACTTTATCTAAAGTATGTCAACCTGGTACTCAAAAGAAGCGATATTGTATAAAAACTTCAAAAATAATAATCATTTTACATAAAAAACATGCCTAAAAAAATTATTCTCAAAAAACCTGAAAATATTGACTTTTTTCATTTTCAGCTTAAAAACAATAGTTTTTATGCATTTATACCTGAAAAAATTATTTTTATAAAAAATTATTTTCATTTTTAAATTTTTTATATAATTTTGCTTATTTTGAGTACCAGGTTGACATACTTTAGAAAAAGTTTTTTTTTCAAAATATTAGGGACCCGTCAAATTTTTGAGGGCCTTGAGCTACCCCTAAAAATATTTTTTGAGCTTAAAAAGGTTTGCATTTGCTTTAACCGTGATTTGTTAATAAATATTCAAATACAAAGTCTCTTCAGATTTAAAATGACTTTTGATATCTTCTAAAACTTTTACTGCTTGTTCAGCACAAATGTGACTCTTATGTATTTATTAAGGAATATCCAGTGGTTAAAGTAGAATAGTAAAACAAGTGGTGTTAAAAAGTTTAAATTATTTGTTCATAGGGATGCGAATTAGCCCGTTCGGGTGCGGAATCATTCCTTCAAATTTTTGGTGTAGGTGTACTTTTATAAGGTGTACTTTTGCTGTATTTTGAGATCTCGCGTGATGGCTAAAATTACTTTATACTAGTCAAATATTTTAGCAAAAATTAAAATAGCTCTTTAACTTCAATAAAAATCAGCGCACAAAGTGAAAATGATCTACTACTAGAGATACTGATCTATAACTAGAGATAAAAACGATCTACTACTAATATGACCTACTACTAGAGATAAATTAGGCGTTGCGTAATTTATGGACAATAAATCTCATTATAAAAACACAAAAAAATACTCAAAAACGAGATAGAACGGTTGCAAAAAAATATAGAGCGAAGCGGAACGATTTTTTAATTTATCGGCTAAAGAGGAACGGCGTTTCCCTGCGTTCACCCCTACTTTAACCCCTGGAAATATCACACCAAAACTTTGTGAATGTATTGATAGCCTTTGGATGATATTTAATGGCTTCCTCAAATTCTCTACCATTTTCAGGGTTAATAATTTGGTTTGAAAACCAGATTGAAAACCATTTTCCAGCAACAAGCTTAACTGCCATCTCAAGTTGTTGTCTGTCTGAAGGAATTACTATGTGAGCAAGTAGTAAATAAATTTCCCGGGAGTTCAATCAATCGATCAATCGAGTTCAATTGAAATTCGCTAATATTTGGTAGACTTTCAAAATTAACCTTAGGAAATTTCTTTTTTTTTTTTTTTTTTTTTTTTTTTAGTTAGTTTATTTTGTCGTTTTACACATTTTACAATGTTATCTTTAAATTCGAATAAATATATATATAATTACAAGCTGACAGGGGCAAGTAGAAGACATAAAGTCTTATCATCAAGCCCTTTTGTGAAATAGAGAAATATAAAATTTCTAAAATTCCAATAATATAAAAAAGAGTTAAATTAAAAATTTTGAAAAAATAAACAAACATTCAAACAAAATTAAAATAAAAATAAAAAAATTTAAAGAGTTTGAAATAAAGTAAAAAGATTGAAAAAAATTAAAAAGTTTAAAATAAATTAAAAATTAAAAAAAGTAAAAATTAGAAAGAAAAAAAAAAAATAATAATAATAATAATAAAATCTCGAAATAAAAAAATAAAAATGTATACAATGCGTAAATTAAAAAGTTTGAATTTTTTTTTACAAATCAGTACATATACGTATACATATTCAATACAAAGCGAAGTATATATTCAAAAATATTTATATATTAAAAAGATTCCAAACGTTATGTAGATTTAAATTCATTTGTTAGTATTTATTAAAAAAAGTTAAAAAAAAAAACAGTCAAAGAGAAAATCAAACAAGAAAGATATATATGTATATATATATATAAAAAAAAAAAAAAAAAAAAAAAAAAAGCTTTTTATCAAATTTATCAAAAAAATATTATTTTTAAAAAAATGAAAGAATGTATGTAATGTTTGAGTTTAGTAAGTGTTTTTTTATAGTTCTTTTGAATATATCAATAGATTTTATTTTTTTCATATTTTCGTCAAGAACTGACTTCCACAAGCGTGGCCCCCGACATGTAATTGAGAAGTCAGATTTTTTGAGTGATGTTGGTGGGATGTAGTAATTATTTATTGAGTGTCTTGTTTCATATTTATGGTTAATTAGAGAGAAACCTTTATAAAAATATTTTGGAATTAGTTCATTTTGAAGTTTAAACATAAATAACAAGTTATGGTATATATTTAGTTCGTATACGTTTAGCGCATTAATTTCCTTGAGTAACGGCTTGGCACTTTCGTACCTATCTGCGCCCAAAACTAATCGACTTGCTTGCTTTTGTTTAGTATAAATATTTTTTAGGAAAGATGAATGATTGTTTGCACAGGCAATATTACAATAGTTAATATGACTATGTATAAATGAAAAGTATAAGTTTTTTAAACATATTTTATTCAAAAGATGTTTTGTCCTGTACATAATCCCCACAGTCTTTGAAACTTTGTTCTCGACTAACTTTATTTGGCTTTTCCAATTTAAATGTTCATCGAAATTTATTCCTAGTATTTTCATTGAAAAAACTCTTTTTATTTTAATATTGTTAATTGTTAGTTCTGGAAGTTTAAGTGGAAGGTTCTCGGATTGAGATGGTTTAGCAAACAAAATATATTTAGTTTTTTCAATATTTAATGATAGTTTATTTGCTATAAACCACTCATTAAGATATATTAGTTCAGCGTTTACATAATAAAAAATATTTTTTAAATTTGAGTCAGAAAAGAAAACATTAGTGTCATCAGCAAAAATAGTATAATTAAGTATTTTTGAAGACAAAAAAATATCATTGATATAAACTAAAAACAATAAAGGTCCAAGTATTGATCCTTGTGGAACTCCGCAACTTATTGATTCAAATGGGGAGCATGTTAGATCATATGGTACACCTTGTTTACGGTTTTCTAAATAACATTGAAGCCACTTTAAATTAGAGTGAACTACTCCGTAACTACGTAGTTTGTAGATAAGAATCTTGTGGTTTACAGTATCAAATGCCTTTGATAGATCTAGAAAAATTCCAAGTGTGTAACAATTGTTTTCCAATTGTGTAACAATTGTTTTCCAATCAAACAATTGGATTCCAAAAGTATTTCACTATGTTAATCAGATGCTTCGAAAACTGTTTATCATCTCTCCATTTTAATTCATTCTCCTTCAATTGTACACCGCTATTGTCAAAGTTAAATAGTCATATTTACTGTTTATTGTTTCAAAAAAATAATACGACAGCTCAGGCGGTGTTACCTTCAAAAAAAGTTATCCAGACATAACTTTAATAATCAATCTAATATATGGTGTTGACAACCAACAATCAGAGGTTTCTGAAAGCCAACACATTTAAAATGTGTCATTAATCACTTTATCACGCCACTTGTTTTCCTAGTGTTAAAATTTGCAAGATCATTTTTATAGATCCCCATAAATCATCACTGTCACTGTCTCTTACTGACTCCACTCTGTATTTATTCAGAATTAAAGTTGATGGCATTAATGGAACGTTTCCAATTTTAATTTTCTTTAAAGGATGTATTTTTTTAGGATCATTAGGCTTCATTGTAGTATATCCAACTCTATCAGATTTTTCTAATTGCTTTAAAGACTTAATCTTCAGAATGTAATCAAAGTTCATCCTCTTTCGTTATTACTAATAAACCATCAAAACTATAAGTACCTGGCTTTTCGATTTCTATTTTTGTCTTTTTAATTAATTTCTATATTATTCTTGGCATTGGTTTTTTATCTATTGTTGGAAAATTCAAATTAGCCCATAGTTCTAAACACTCATCTGAAATTCTCTTTATTCTTCCTTTCACATTTTTATAGTCTGGTATATCAAGCTGGTATATCGGTTAATTATTTGCCGATTTGTTGGCATTTTACATACAGTTTCTGATGGTTCTTGAGATTTATTTTTTATTGATGATAATTGAATTTATTTTCCATACATCTCTTGATATTTTGGTTGTAGTAGAATTTTTGTTTGACATATTGAATGATTGTGTAATAATTGAATTTGTAATGCCTTATACAATTTATTATTTTATTAGAATAAATTACGCAACACTAAATTTTACTAACAAACAAAACAAAAAAGTTTTCCTTCGCAGATCCTCGCAGTTAAACAAAAATCAAAATAGTACGTTAAGTTTAATGAAAACCGTCGCGTAAAGGAGCTTAAGAATTTACGGACAATCCCTAAGGAATTATAAATCATTTGGTGCTTGAGTTTTTTAAAAGGATGTCCCTTCAAAATATTGTCATTTTTTTCAAAATATAAAAGCTCATATCTAAAGGAATATTATTTTTTATTTTATATCCCTATTGCAAACTCTTTAAAAACTATTTACTTTATATTGCGACAAACAAAATGTTTTGCATTATTAACGATGTTCTTTAATTAAAAAAAAAAAAAAAACTCACTGTATATAAAATAAAAAAATTTCAGCTATTTAAAATAGAGAACAAGGTAGGAATAATACAATGACTATTTTTTCCGATGTGAAATTTTTTTGTCATTATTTGACTACCGGTACCGCACGTAATCATACCGGACGGCTAAGACTGATGTTTTTTACTATTCTTATGTACTAATAATTTACTATTTTCAACATTTGTTTGTTGTGACAATTTTGACGACAAAATCTTGAGTTTTAGACGGTAATGGACGAGAAAAAATTGCCAGATTATATTTGTTAGTATATTAACAAATAAAAAATTAACAAATTTCGGTAAAGGTTTTTCTCATTATTATTAAAACGAACTTACTAGTTGTTTAATATAAAAAGAATTAATCTTACTATATTTACTTGCGTCAATTAAAATAATAACTAAATTAAACTTCGCAGGACTAGTTGAGCAATTTTTAATTAATCTAACAGATATAATGAATTGTGAGTCGGATTTTCCATTATTTTTCTACTATTGGAAAGATAACTTAACCTGCTAAAATTTTTATTATTATTGATAATGCATAATATATATTAACTATAACAATACAAATTTTAACCGGGTAAGTTGTCTTTCCAATATTGAAAAAATAATGTAAACTCATTATATCTGTTTGACTAATTAAAAATTGCTCTACTAATCCTGCGAAGTTTAATTTAGTTAATATTACAATATAAATAGGTATAATTAATAGTGTAAATCCAACTCACCATTCATTCACCTAGTTATATTACAATTAGGTTTTAAAGAGAACAGTAAGGCGTAAGAAAAAACGGCTAGTTATAACTGAAAGTTTAATAAATGGATAAAATATTTAGGTGATGGCAGATACTAAAATTTATAAGCATCTCAAAGAAAAATAGCAATATTTGTTTTTTAATTTTTTTAATCTACAATTAAAAAAGTGCCGGTGCATCTTACTTACCTGCCGTCCAACAACCTTTTGTTGCGCAGTGTATCACCATAATTCCTTAAATTTTTTTTACCAGTAGATGTTTTGTCATACGATGTGTAGTTTTTGAGATGTTTTAATTGCCCAATTTGCACCTATGCTCAAGTAGCCTAATTTTTGATAAATATATTTTTAAGTATACTTAGTATACTTTTTTATAGATATATTTTTATAAAATGTAAAAATATATAGCTTTCTTCCTAAAATATGAATTTTTTGAAACTGGTTACAAACATAGTCAATTTTACATCTCATTGAGCTTCTATGTACTTACGTTTCCTGCATTATTAATATTTATAGCAATTACCTTCATATTTTAATAAAATACCTAAATCAAAAGTTTGAGAAAAACCATCTTCATTGCTCTTTATCTAAAAACATAAAAAAAATAGGAAAAGCTTTTAAAGTTGAAAATATACTTTTTATTTTTCATTTATAAATATTTACAGAATACAACTTATTTAGGTGTAAATTGAAGACTAAAGAAGCTTACATTTGCTTTTAAGTCTACTTTTTGTTTTAAGTCTACCTTTTTGACTGAATTTAAAGACATTTAAGGTTCACTGCAGTTATTTTAAGAAAAATTAGTTCTTCTTATATGTAATATTTAAAAACTAATTCAAGGTTAATGTAACTATTTCACTTGAAATTGAAAATTATGATTATTTAAATCATTACAACAAATTATTAATTGATAAACTGTTTCTAGGCAACGAACTTATGTCTCTGAAATCAAAAAATGTTTCTTGTCTTTTAATGTGAATAGTAATTGGAATAAAAAATTCATGGTAGTTATGTTTTTAAATGAATTCAATAAAAAAATTGCATTAAAAAAAAATAACAGCCTAAACATAAATTATATTTGCGTTTTCAACTATTAGTGAATTTTGGATACTATATAGGGGAAAGTCGGATAGACCCGGACGAAAGGTAACTCCGGACACTTGATATACAGCTTAAACTAAAGAAGCTATATGACTTTTAATACTATAATACCATTATTTAAGTGAAAATATGGCATATGCAAATTATCTATCATAATATGCCGAAGCGAATGACTCGGAGGGATATTGTTTCCCACCACCAGAAGAGCAACGTATCATCATATTTAATCCACTTATCAATATACCTAATTTTTATGTAAACTAATAACTTTTTAATGATTAAAGATGCATTTTTATTTACAATAGTTATTGAAAAAAAAGTTTGTTTAAAACTTTAATTCACTGGTTTTAAAACTAGTATTTGTGAATGAGGTATGATCGGGTGGTATCGGACACACGATTGGAGGGTGGCTCCGGACAACTTAATTCGTTTACATAATAATAATAAACAACTTTTTTTATATAAATATTAATACATTTAATATAATGCACAAACCTATAATAGTAACTCATTTAATTCCAATAAAAAAACATTAGATTTGAAAAATGTGTTTTTAAAGGGTTTATTTCCATTATAAAAAAACTTTATTAAAAATATAAGTTTATATTTTTAAATGATGACATTTTCATTCTCATTCCTTATATATCGGTGGCAATTTTTAAAGGCAATTTTTTTAAATATGTGTCGAGAACAGTCCAATGCTAAATTATTATATATTACATTTGTGTCACAGTGGTAAAAAAAAAAAGGTAAAATCGTGGTTAAACTATGTGTCCGGAGCTACTCTCCAATTTTGAAACATGCCGTTTTTCTAACATTTTTTCTTTTATGTTTTGTATATTATTAAGATACGCAATAATCATTTTTTTGTTTCTAATTCAATAGATGAATGTTTGAACTTTTAAAAAAAAATCTTTTGACACTTTGTTTTATGTTAGCACATGTGTACAACCTATATTTTTCTGAAGTGTCCGGGGCTACCCGACTCTCCCCTAAACTCAATTTTACTGGCTATAGCAATCGACAATAAATACCTTTTTTTTTTAAATTTTTTAGTTTACAATTATTAATCGACATATAACAATATAACAATATATAAACTTGGTATTTGAAAGAAGATCCAAATGATCTTGTCGCCATAACCATATCAAATATATCATACGTGTATATATAACAAAAATAAAAATACAATTGATTTAATAACTATTAACAGTGTAGAATAAACAAAAACTGAAAATGATTTTACAAATTATTTAGAGTAAAAATATTTTCAAATTTCAAAAATGTTTATATATATCGCCAGTAGAAAGAATATAGTTTTTTAATTTAGCTTTAAAAACGGAAAACGAAATCGACAAATCAAAATGTGGAACAACAATTTTGTTTCATAAATACGGTGCTCGATAGTTTATGCAAAATTGATTAAACTTTGTTTGACAAAAGGGTTCAATTATTAAATTATTACTTCGTAAAGTATATTTGTTTATAGTTTTATGGGTAAAAAGATCTTTGAAAATGAACAATGGTTGTTCATTTTTACAACGAAACATAAAACATAAAATATTATAGACATTGGGTTCGTAAACGTTAAGTGCTTTAACGTTTTTAAATAAAATATTTGAATGAGAAAAACGATTTTCAAAACATATTAAACACATTGCGTGTTTTTGACGATGGTAGAGATTTCGTAACTTACTTTTAGAGGTACTTCCCCAAACAATATTTGCATAATTTATATAGCTATGAATAAATGACTAATTGAGTTGAATTAAATTTTGTTTACTTAGATAGTATCTGACCTTATACAGAATTCCAATATTTTTGGCCAATTTAGTAAAAAGAAACCACGCTGATAAATTTGCTATGTATTTTCTCCCACTTGCGGATTTATTCGAAGGAAAAAACCGGTTGTCGATATTCCAGCCATTAAATATAGCTATATTATTTATTTTAAATATTTGGGTCGTTTCCGTCAATTTTAGTATTTAGTAGTTTAAGGGTATAGAAATTAGCAACTTGGCTTAAAAATTGTCCCGCGTATTCTTACCACCATATTAAATTTACATTCAAGATGGCGTCCTCCCAAACTGAAAGAAGTGGTAAATTCTGGATCAAGACTGATTTGAGACTTTCATCATTTGAGCGACCGTGGTTGCAAAATGAAATAAAATTTTTGAAAGACTACTCAATGGGAAGTGAAATAGACTCAGTAATTGAAGAGAATATCGGGAATCGCTTGGTTTTGGTTGGGCCGATGCTAGATGGCTATTTAAAAGAAATAGGGATTGCAATGTTCTCCAAACTGACCAGAAGTCAGTTAACAGGTCTTGTTTCATCAATTAAATTATACAATCCATGGCAAGTAATGAGGTTTATGACAGCAATTTTTGAGAGCTATGGAGGAAGAACTGAGTTACCGTTACCAAAAAACAACAAGAAAAATCTGCTTTTTGCAATAGAAAAACAGGGTACAGCAGTTCAACTGTTTAATCCGTCAAGATTTAATGGAATAAATTACCTTAAAAACGAAATTATTCTACAATAAAAGATCATGGCATAGCAAAGTTATCTTATGTTGGGGAATCAAATGTTGTTGTCAGCGTAAATACCCCAATACATATGAAATACTTTCATAATTTAAACCATCTCAAAGTTTCCGTTTATATACAAAAATATACTGCTGAAGGCTTCGTCGTTGATACTGCGGTTCAATCTCTTGTCAACAAAGAGTTCAATAATACCTGAATGGTGATTAAAAAACAGTTATTTTCATAACCACACATACTTTTAGAAGCATTAATTAGGTACGTGGACTGATTTTTTTAAATTGATCAAATACAGAAGTGTTATATATTATTAGAAACCCTCAAATACAGCCTTTTAAAGGTAAAAAATTATGAAAATCGGACTATTCTATCAAAAGTTATAAAGTTTTTAGTAGCAAATTTTCGATATATGGATTTCTTGATAAAACTGTGGTCAAAAAACATTTTTTTTCACATAAATTGTTATAACTTTGCCAGTTCTTATTCAAATATCTATAACCTTGGTATCAAAAGATAGATATAAAAAAGGCTATAATTTTCAACTAGATTTAGGTGAAGGGCGCATCCAGGGATCCGGAGGGGTGCTAATCCACCACCCACACCTCACAAAAATACACTTTTTATTATAAAAAGTGTTTTTTTTTTTTTAATTACAAATATTTATATACAAGAAGTTGTTATTATTTTATCCCACATCACTAGCGAATATTACAGGTTTATCTCAAAGTCGGGTGTTGGATTTTAAGTAAGGTTTAACACACCCTATCAAAATTTCATTCTTTTAAATATTTCAATCTTTACTAAAACGTAAGCCGCCCCCTTCCGCCCCGTACCTAAAAAATTTTTTCATGATAATTTAACAAAAAATGTATAAAAATGCTTTTTTAAACACATATAAAATATTATAAAAAACTATTTTATCACATTACAGTGGTGTATAAATTGCCTTCATGAAAGGGAACGTAAGCTATTCCCCCTTCCGCCCCGTACCTAAAAAAATTATTTTAAATGAGAATTTAAGAAAAAATGTTCAAAGATGTTTTTTTAAACGCATATAAAATAGTATAAAAAAAATTTTAACACGTTACAGTGGAGTATTAATTGCCTTCATGAAAGAGGGCGTAAGCCGCCCCCTTCTGCGCCGTACCTAAAAAAATTTTAATGAGAATTTTACAAAAAATGTTTAAAAATGCTTTTTTAAACACATCAAATAGTATAAAAACTATTTTATCACGTTACAAGATGTATGAGAGTATCCATTTTGTCATGTAAAGGAACCCACTCCAACCTGAAAAAAACTACCCACTCCAACCTGAAAAAAAAACACACAGCAGCAAGTCTTTTTTTAAAAAAAAGTAATTAACTATTGTCTTGGCTTTTAGTAAATGATTTATGTTTTGAATTCCATTTAAAAACTAAAATAAATCATTTTTAACGATAGACACCACGTGAAGGTAAGCTAGAACCGTCATCAAAAAATTTGCAAGCCACAAAACTTGCTGTACCTATTTGCAAGCCACAAAACTTGCTGTATCTAATTGCAAGCCACAAAACTTGCAGTACCCATTTGCAAGCAACAAAACTTGTGGTACTCATTTGCAAGCCACAAAACGTGCTGTACCTAAATGCAAGCCACAAAACTTGCGGTATCCATTTACAAGCCACAAAACTTGCGGTACCCATTTGCAAACCACAAAACTTGCTGTAGCTAATTGCAAGCCACAAAACTTGCTGTACCTAATTGCAAGCCACAAAACTTGTTATACCTAATTGCAAGCCACAAAACTTGTTATACCTAATTAAAATCCTCAAAACTTGCTGTAGCTAATTGCAAGCCACAAAACTTGCTTACCTAAGACAAGCTACAAAACTTGCTGTACTTGTTTGCAAGCCACATAACTTGCTGTATTTATTTGCAATCCACAAACCTTGCAGTACTTGTTTGAAAGCCACAAAACTTGCTGAACTTTTTTATCAAGCATTTTTACATTATGTCATATTCAAACTAAGAAAATATTACCTTCCCTAATATAACAACAGCAGCTAGCTGGATTTTTCCACCTTATGCTCGACAGCTTCAATACCAGTTTCATCTTGTTTCCAGTAAGAAATAG